ATCACTCCTAACTTGTGTTCCAGTGGGTGGTGGGAGTCAAAACGCAAATATTGGTCTGTGTGGGTGGGCTTAAATGATGATCAGTCACATGGAGGCAGTGCTTAAAAGCCTGAATTTTGCCTGAAACTCTGACTGAAGAAGTCTCTTGGAGGAGAGACGAAACGTTTCATTAGAGAAGAACCCGTCCAGAAGACCTATACTATTTTTTTCTTTTTGAAGATTGAAGAAGCGCTGAAGACACTGTTTATCTACAACAGTCTCATGAAAAGAATGATCAGGTTTATCCACAATGTTCTTGATTTCCAGAGGTTCCACAGTTGTCCACAGAACAGAACCAGCCTTCTTTATTCGGTTGTTTAGCCTTTTTAGGTCCCTGACAACCAGTATATTATCAAGGTAAAATGCTGCAAGCTAGTCTTTAACCTGAGCTTTACCTGAAAATCAGATTAAAAATTTCAGTACGTATTTTTTTTTTTTTACCTTTTAACGTTACATGACATTATGGGTCAGAGTTTTTGTATTTCAGTTCATTATTCATGAAGTGAGCCTATCATTGAGTACAAATCACCTTTCTATTCACAGGTAAAGAAACAGCCCAAAAAATAAAGTGTGCAATAAAGTAGGCTAAATAAATTTGTCCTTTCTAGCCACAGTCTAACTAAAGTAGTGTGGCCTAACTTTTAGGAAAAAATCAGTTTGAGTAAAATTGTAGTAGTTATCAGTCCTAGCCCAGCTAAAGCAATATGATCATCCTCCATGTTTATTAGTAGTCTTTGTGAGCATACGTTTATTATTTTATTTATGTTTATCTAGATCCGGTAACACAGTATTGGATTGAAAAAAACAAAATAAATCTACATTATTTATTTCTGTCTTCTCACTGTTTGTTGTGCATCCACTACTTATCAACTTCTAACTCGCTGGGGTGTCTCGCTGCCTGTGCCTGGTCTCGATCCTGGATATCCCGATCTCTGGTCGGGAAACTCGTCTTTACTATAACATGGGACAAAGAAATGTTCATCTGTTAGAGTTAATATTGTTTCGTTAGAAGAGCTGAAACCGTGTCTCACAGAACAGTTGCACCTCGGCGCGCTGTCGAGAGGAGTTTGGTCACACGAACAAAGTTGGACATATCTGTTWGATAACGAAGCTCTGAACACAAACTTATAGTGAGTTAGATTTTAGATACCAATGTCTCTGGTAGCTCAGAGAGAAGTGTGGAGGACAGGGTTTGTTCACTCAGGACAGGAACTGCAGGCTGACTGGTGTTTATCCTGCAGACTGCTGCACCGACATCAGAAAGACCCGCCTGCTCTGATTGGATAAACTAAGGCTACGTTCACACTGCAGGCAAATCCGACCCAAATCCGATTTTTTTTGCTCCATCTGACCCATATCCGATTATTTTATGACAGTCTGAACGAGACAAATCCGATTTTTTCACATCCGACCCAGGCTGTTTCAGTATGTGGTTTTAAATCAGATATATATCTGATGTTTTCAAAGTGACTGCAGTGTGAACGCTCATGTCACATTCATCTGACTTTTTCATCAGGAGGAGGTGAAGGATCGATAAGACACTAACCTGAAGTTTCGCTGTTTAAATCTGTAGCTCCGTGTGTTTACAGCTCCAAAACACAAGTCCAGTTGCTTCATCTTTTTACTTTTAATTTTCCATGTAGATAGTATGACAATAATGGTCCAGCCTGGGTCGCGGAGAGTATCGATCCTAAAGCTCGATACTCGGTCTATACTTTTTTCCAGCTCGTAGTTTCGTTAAAAAAAAGCTTCACTGGATCATCCCGGTCAGAGGCAGGTTCAGATATAAACACTGAAGCAGGTCAGATAATTATTTAATCGGCTCTGATTAAACAACAACTTCCGATTCGATGTGTAATATGTAGCATCCATGCTAGCTCTGTAAACAAACAAGCCGGCTGATGAGACGTCACGTCTTTCACTGCGCATGCGTGTCACATCAGTGCTGTGTAGCGTTCACACAGGGGTCTGATACAGGTCACATTTAAAATGTAATGTGAACGTTCACACAAAAAGATCGGATTTTTTCAAAAAATCAGAACTGAGCATTAAATGGTAAATGGTACTGAACTTATAGAGCGCTTTTCAAGTCCCTCCGGACCCCAAAGCGCTTTACACTAACAGACATTCACCCATTCACACTCACATTCACACATTGATGATGGCAAACTACACTGTAGCCACAGCTGCCCTGGGGCACACTGACAGAGGTGGGGCTGCCARGCATCGGCGCCACCGGACCCTCTGACCACCATCAGTAGGCAAGGTGGGTGAAGTGTCTTGCCCAAGGACACAACGACTGAGACGGCTGGACGGGGGATCGAACCAGTGACCTTCTGGTTCCAGGACAACTCCCCTAACCACTCGGCCACAGCCGCCCCTAAGACCTGCAGTGTGAACGTAGCCTAAGCTGTGGGGTTTGTTTGATTTGTTGAACACAACGTCTGCATCAGACTGAGCGGCTTGAGACCACAACAGAAAACGAGCAGGTTTCTCTTTTCCTCATTTTTTAAAAATACCAAAAATACAGACATGGGCGAAATGACGTCGGTTATCGTCATAAATGTCTATATCGGTTATTTTTCGGTTTATCGCCCAGTCCTAATCTAGCTTTCTTTGAAATATTTGCATTCTTTTTAGTGAGATGCTTGTTAATATAAACACTTGTGCCTCTCAGATTTCTTCCTTGCTTCAGCAAATCAATGAAGTTGCAACATAGATCTGCATAGAAAACCAGGCACAGTATTTAATTATTAACCTTTCATTGAACTGAGTTGGTATTAATATAACATATAAAATTATGACAATAAGTTCATTGTGGGACTACTTGGGGTTACCTTCATCCACACAACATGTGGTTCCTGTCCATCGTTGATCGTTGTCATATTCAGATGTTTATGAGGACCACCACGTCTTTATTCATTATTCATCCATACTCTGTTTAGGTTTTGGAACAGAAAATTGTGTCGTGCCTATAACTGCTTAGGATGTCTTATTTGCACGTTCCCCTCTGATGTGTAACTTGTTTTTTTTTGAAGACATTTTGCACAATTGTGTCAGTCGATGATCTATGTTTCCAAAGAATGAATCGGTCTTGAATTAAAATGTTTTGTTTTTAGTGGAACTTATTAATTACTTTGGTTTTCAGGAGTCTTTTTGTCCTGACTTCTCATGAACAATGATAGAAATGTGAGTGCTTACTAATAATCTTAGTGTTTTTGTTGTCCCTGCAGACAGTGGAGCATGGATTCCCCCACCAGCCCAGCGCTCTGGGCTACAGTCCCTCTCTGCATCTGCTGGCTATAGGAACCCGCTCCGGAGCCATCAAACTGTATCTTTCACTCAAACATTTCTGCTTTGGAGGAATCTGTGTGTTAGGTTTGAACTTGAGGCTGACTGTTCTGATGAATTGTGACACAGTTAAACACTCATGGGGTTGATTGATTTTATTTTCCCATGCTCCTGTTTGGTGCAGTCTGGTGCAGCCCGTCCCATTTTAGCCTTCCACACAGTTAAGCTCATTGACAGTGTGCTGGGACCAGCCCGTGCACATTCACTACACTGAGGATAAACAAAACAAAGGTTTAGATAATGGTGTGGTTGTGTCTGATTAGACTGATCCTTGTCTACAATGGTTTTGATTGTTCCTTCATAAAGCAGTGTGAGGGTTTAGATAAAGAACCATCTGTTAGTGGATGCTAGGAGTTAAAGGACAGAGTTGGTCTGATGTTTTTCTGCACATTACACGTCATTTGGCATAATTAGGTCTAAGCATAGCAGAAGATGTGGTGGGTAAGATATGTATGGTATGGATAAAGAACCCAGATCAACCGGAGCCTTCTAAGTGGGCCCATTGCTTTCCCCAAAAAGACATTGAGCTTTAATCAAATCTTTGTGTTTCTCAGATGAAGGACACAAGCTTAAAGGGATCCACGATTAGTTGTAACTAGGGATGCAAACAATTAATCAATTTACGATTATTTGTCGATTAATGGTTTATTAGATTAAAGTTTCTTCCATTCGATTTGAATTGAAAACATCCGTTTAAACTTTATTTCAATGTAGTTTTGATTTCATCCAGCAGAGCTGCTGCTCTACCACGGCCAGTTGAACTGAGCAGCAGAAAGCCGTCTGTGGGTGGGACCACAAACGCGTGAGTCTTATTTAGTTTTATTTGTGACACAACAATAATAATGGATCATACCAAACCCGAAGGAAAAGTACTGAAGGCTGTACTGGACTATCCAGCAGTATGATGCTTAAAACAAGAGAGAATGACGACAGAACGGTAAGCTAGCTGTGGCTAACGTTAGCTTCCTCTCGTTGAGTTTAACTCCGTGTGAAAGAACAAAACAAAAAAGTTAGACGCTAAAAAATGAAGTTAATCTAATCTGTGTGACGCTAAATTGCCTTAAATGTATTAGCTTGGTGTTAGCGCGATCAACACGCTAAACTGAGGTCCTCCATCCATATTGTCAGCTGCAGGCTGAGACATTTTTGTGTTCCCCTCTCTGTCATGTGGATGGAGGACCTCAGTGATGAGAGGAGAATGTGTAGCACTGAGCTAATACATAGTATATGGTGATAGCGTTGGGGCTAACGCTAAAGCTAACAGGCTAAGCTGAGGTTCTTCTTCCATGAAGCAGCTCTGTTGTCCTCCATCCATATTTTCAGWTCCAGGCTGAGTCATTTCTACCTTSTCCTCTCTGTCAACGCTCTCTGGTTTCATTTAAAAGAGTCGATCATCAGATATTGTCCAAGATTAACCTTCAGGGTGGATATAGCTCGCTAGCAGCCTCGCACCGAGGACCTATCCACGTCATCATTTACCCAGAATGCTTTGTGTGGAAATAAAATGGCTCCATCCATGTAYTATYTTTTTAAACTTTTAGTTTAAAAATGATAAAAACMGAACAGCCCACAGTATTTTTACAGTCTTTATTTTACAGTTAAACTATATGTTTATTAAATAAAGTCTGTTACAACTAATCATGGATCCCTTTAAGCCTGGTTTATACTTTGAGGCGCATATCTTGTTCCCCTGGCTGAGTGACAAAAAAATTGCGTAACTTCCGTCAGCTCTCCCACTGCTATCCCCGGGTGACAGCTATCTTGTACATTGCCCCCAGTCAGCACTGGGAGATGTGGACCTTGCGTTTCGGAGCGTGTGATTGGGTAGAATTTTGTAGGTGTGATTGATCATGAGTAATACCGCAACCCTCCAGCAGCAGCGCTGAGGAGCAGGACTCTGATCTGCTCTGCCTTCTGCGTGTTGTTTGTTTAAAATGTTTTTTTTTTCCTGAAGCTAGTTGTTTAAAGAGCTAGAAGAGCAGCTGATTTGATCCTATTGAACATGAGCACACAGCTAATTTTCAGAATTTCACATCTCTTTTTCCATCACCACTGTTAACATAAAAAAGTTTTTCACCATAGTCTCTTCTTCACCCAACACAACGCTGATCATTGAGTGTTAAAAAATTAAACGAAACACAATATCCAGCCATCTTTATTGCTGTTTATGTACTTATGAGCTGTGGGAGGGCAGAGGGAGGATCTATGATCATTTATATTCCACCGCGTCTTTAGTTCATTTATACTCGATAAGGAAAAAGACATATAAAACTACGCAATCTCCAACTCGCTATCTCATGTCTACTGAAGTATAATCCATGCTTTAGAAACACTGTTTTGAGCTTCTTGGGATCCATAAAGGGTTCCCCATGAATTCTTTGCTTTTGACTGCTCAGAGCCGGACAGTGGCCAAAGTAATGCAAAGAGGTTTCTAATTCAATGCCACAGGCATCAAACAAACCATTGTCATGGTGTCCCATTACCAGTTTGTGGCTGTTGTGCCCAGTTAGGACTCCAACTAGTGTACATAATGTTTTTCTTCCTAATAGAGACTCAAATGATATATCCAAACAGGCATTTTTTGTCATTGTGTATTGCTTTGCATTGTTTGTACCAGGGCTGAGCAGTATATGTGGTAGACGTAGAAACAGTATGAAGTTGGCCTACGGTAGAAATGTACCCTCTACCGTCCTGTCGTCATTGCATCATCGCACCTGTGTGAACAGGGCTGCAGTGCAGAGACAACTGAGCAGGAGTTCGAAATATAATGAAGAAATTCTAGCGTTTTAAAACACATATAGAGAGGATAAATCCTCAAAATATCCTCCTCCTGCTGTAGAAATGTTACGTCGTGTCGCTGAATCATTTCCTCCCTCCGTCCGTCCCTCTCACTGCACGTCACGCAGAGTGAAGCTTTAACAACTGTAGTTTTTCACATCCCATTGTCGGAGAAAAAAATGTTTTATGTATTGTTACCCATAGAGATGATAAAAAGATGTGGACGTTCGTTCAGTCATAAATCCATCTTGCTAAAGTAAAGTCAGCTTCTGCTCTGATGATGATGATGAAGATGATGAAGATGAGCGCGCAGCAGCTCATTGATTGGCAGGCTGATATTAAAGCAGAAACGTTTGGTTTAATTTAGATTACAGTTTTCTGCAAAAAAATGCTCTAAAAATTACATTATCTTAACTTTTTATAATTTTCTACTGCGATAAATACCGTTACCGTGAAGGGGTTCAATTTATACCGTGATATGGATTTGAGGTCATACCGCCCAGCCCTAGTTTGTACTTAACACAAAGTTTGATACTTCTTTGTTGAAACATTTCATCTCTTCTCCAACAGACTTCTTCAGTCTGATGCTGCGTTCACACCAACTGCGATTTCAGCATCAGGAGCAGCAGGTTTACATACAAAGTCTATGGTGGAGGCGCTTCAAGCAACGTCGGGAAGTGCTGCCACGCCTCAAGCGCGATTAGAGCAGCGCGATTTGAATGATTTGAACGATCTGAGCGTTCGACGTGCTTGATGCTCAAATCGCTGAAGTTAGAAAATCTGAACTTTTGCAGCTCGACGCGCCGCGTCAACCAATCAGAGAGACTCCACTGTGTGACGTAGCGACATATTTCTCGATGGGACAGTTTACTGAAAGATGTCCACTAACCTGAAACAGATGGAGAGGAGCTCTTTAGCTGAAATCGAGTGCCTGCAGTCGGTGTCCTGACAGGAGATACATTCCTGCTCACCATTATTGGCACCCCTTCATGATTTGCATAGCTGAGTGAATATCTTCAGAAATAAATGGAAATGTTCAAAACTTATATCAACAGGATCTTTCAATTTCAGGTCCAAAGTAATTTAACAAAGAAAATTACCATTTCAACATAAATATTTTAATTCCAAAGGACTAAACAGAAAACCAGCATGTGCACTAATATTAACACCCCTCTTAATATTTGGTTGCGCAGCCTTTGGCAGCAATGACAGCCTCCAAATGTTTCTTATATTCATCTATAAGCTTCTTGCACTTCTCGGGTGGCATTTTCTCCCACACTTCTTTTGCAATATGCTCAAGCTCTTGTAAATTTGCAGGGTTCCTTTTGCCAATGGCAGATTTCAGCTCCACCCAAAGACTTTCAATTGGATTGAGATCAGGACTCATTGCTGGCCATTTTAAAACAGTCCATTTTTTCCCTTTCAACCAGGCCTGTGTGCTTTTGGAGGTGTGCTTTGGGTCGTTGTCTTGCTGGAGGACCCAGGATCTTCGCCGCAAACCAAGTTTCCTTACACTGGGCAAGACYTTTCGCTCTAGAATTGCTTGATAATCTTCTGATTTCATGATGCCTGTGATARYGTCAAGGCCTCCAGTACCAGATGCTGCAAAGCAGCCCCACAGCATTATGGATCCTCCACCATGCTTGACTGTTGGTATGGTGCTCTTTTCTTTAAAGGATTCATTGCGCCGTCTGTAAACATATCGTCTGTGTGAATTACTGAAAAYCTCCACTTTTGTTTCATCCGTCCATAAAACGTTGTCCCAGAAGGATTGAGGTTTGTCCAGGTTCTCTTTTGCAAAGATCAAACATTCTTTTTTGTGTCTTTTCTTCAGCAATGGAGTCTTCCTTGGCCTCCGCCCATAAAGCCCCACTTTGTTTAGTGTGCGGCYTATGGTACTTGTTGAAACAATCACACCAGACTGCTCCAGGTTGGTCTTTAGGTCCTTAGATGTTAGACGGGGTGTTTTTTCTACCATTCGCACCAACCGTCGAAGACTTCTGTCATCAATTTTTCTCTTCCCCCCACGTCCAGGGAGGTTCTTGACCGTTCCATGCCTGGAAAACTTCTTAATAACATTACACACTGTTGAAACAGGGATACCAAGGTCTTTCGAGATAGCTTTATACTCTTTGGAGGTCTTGTGCTTGCAAATAATGGCATTTCTGATGTCCTCAGACAACTCCTTTGTCTTTACCATTGCCACATGTGGAGATGAACTAACAGGTGGCTTTTAAAGCACCAACATGATCATTCATTGGTTAATTCATGTCACGTGTGGAGGCAGTCCATCACAAGTGATCTTTATGTGTGATTTGCAACAGGTGAGCCAAATTGGGTTTTCATATTTATTTGCAGCAAAGGGTGTCAATTCCATTGGCATGGTAAAAATTATGTTTTTCTTTGTTTTCCTCATAAAGTTTATCTTTTTAAATGTTTTTGATCATTTGCTGTTTTGCATCAAGCACAAGCTATCAGCAGTAAAATGTTGTTTCACTTGATGAATTTCCTTCAGTAAATATTCCATTATATGTACTTAAACTTCATGGGTGCCAACAATGGTGAGCAGGACTGTATCTGCACCAATGCGTGGCAGCGGCTCATCAGACTGGACTCGGGACAAAAATAGTCCTGAAAGCGAGCTGTGAGCCTCTCCCGCAGCTCCTGGGTGATGAAACTCAGAATGTCTCTGAATTATCTGGTGAATTAATTATGAATTAATTATCTGATGAACGTGACATGCTCTTGCTCTCTGTAAATAAAGCAAAGCCACTTCCTCGTCCGACATTAAACAGAGCCCGACAGAGGAGGGAGGGGCGGGGAGGCTGTTGCCGTGCAGCGCTTCAAGAGCTGTCCTGCGTCTGACCTCAAAGTGCACAAGCTTCAAACTTCAGCGTTGGCTGCGATTTTGAAGCTGAAATTGCGTTCGGTGTGAACGCAGCATGAGGAGTTACAGGAAAGGTCAGCATTAAGTGTATCTATATAAAATTATATAAGTTAAATTAATTGGTGCCGTCCAGTCTTTTCTTAACTGGTCCTCAGATATGGAGCTCCAGGTGTGGAGTTCATGGGACTGCATGATGAGAATGCTGCTGTAACACAAGTGCACTTCATGCCTCACCAGGTACAGTAACACAGCACACCTTCCTGCTGCTACGTTGTGGCGCTAAAGTTTTCTGATCTTCTTTAATGATTGGCTGATGCTTCTCTTTAGGTTGAGATGGTAACTTTGCTGGATGACAACAGTCTGCACATGTGGACTCTTAGAGCCCACAAGGGACTGTCGGAGCTTCTAGAGATCGGACGCTTCATGCTTACTGGACCACCGGGGTAAAACACATTTTAGATCAGGATTTATTATGACCCTCACATGTGTAGCGGGGATCATATTGTTTTTGTACTGTTTATTTTTATTTATTTATATTTTCTCCGGAGATTTTTGGTCAACCGTAGCACAAAAACGGCTGCACCAATCAGCATGAAATTAGTCAGGACTGTAGATGAGTCTGACCTACACTGCGCCAGCCAACAGTTTTATGATAGACCCCATATTTGAGGAGGGGGCTCCTTTCAAAGAGGGGGTGTCAGAACATGCAAAATTGCTTATAACTCAGAAACTATTAAACAAAGGAGCTTCAGATTTTTTTTGTTGTTTAGCTCTGATGAAGCTCTATCCATCAGGCCCACCAATCAGTGCCCCCCCACGAACCCCCAACTCATCTGAAAAAGGGGTGTATGGACTTACAAAAAGGTTATAACTCAAAAACTATTAAACATAGGAGCTTCAGATTTCTTTTGTTGTTTAGATCTGATGAGGGGCTATCCATCACGTCAACAATTGGAGTTCATCTTTCACAGAATTAATTATTTTTTGCTGTGACTTCCACACTTATCACTGAATTTATCGCGCGATCTGCTTCCTGCACGTCTGTTGGAGCGGAGGTGGTGTAAACTGGACTTGAAACGCAAAGCTGCGACCTGCGCAGCGCAGCTGAGTGGAGCCGTAACGCATGTAATGCAAATTAGGAGTAACTATTCAACATCGGAGCTTCAAACTTTTCACTTTTTTGCTGTTGTTTAGCTCTGTAAGGCTATCCATCGGGCCCACCAATGAGCTCCCTTTCCAAACCTCCACACAAACAAATCCGTTCTGATGACTTCTGAGTTATGTTCATCAGTGCTTTGCATATGTACGGGGGTCATGTGCAGTATCTAGTTTTTACAGGTTTTGTTCCTTACAAAGTTCTTTACTACAAACTATAGACATGGACTCATTATTTTACTAAAGATTGTTTATTTAAGACAACGTTAATGTTTGTTTAATATCTTCTGTTCTTTGAAGGATTTTTCTGAAAAGGCTGTATTCCTTCTCCTTGTCTATCTTCAGTCTCATCCAAAACTTTTGTACTAAAACGCTCATCATAACTTGTTCTTTTCAGTGCCCCCCCGAGTGTGACCCGAGTGACTGCAGTGCTGGCCCACTCTTCAGGAGAGCTGCTGTTGTTGGGGACAGAAGGAGGACATGTCTTTGTTGTTGAAGTGCCAGGATTCAGAGAGTTGGAAGAGAGGAACATCAGCCTGGACCAGGTCTCCAACAGGTGACTAACTGGATAACAAAGAACATATCCGGTGCATTTGAGGAAATGATTTAGTAGGAACCACCTAAACTGCTTTCGCTGTCCCTAAACTGAGATTGCTTCAGCATTAGGAATGGGTATCATTTAGATTTTATTGATACTACTACTCTTATCTGCATGGCTTATCAATACGGTGTTTTAACAGTCCTGGTATTGATGCTTTTGGTTAATGGTATGGGAAATGCTCGGTGCAGCAGTCTGCAGGATAAACACCGGTCAGCCTTCAGCTCCTGTCCTGAGTGAACAAACCCCGTCCTCCACACTTCTCTCTGAGCTACCAGAGACGTTGGTATCTAAAATCTGACACACTATAAGTGTTCACAGCGTCGTTAACTAACAGATATGTCCAACTTTGCTCGTGTGACCAAATTCCTCTCCTCGACAGCGCTTAACGGGAGCGTGCCGAGGTGCACGCAGGCTGAGTTCTGAGAGCCGCTGCTCTTCCAAAATATTAACTCAGATGAACACTTTGCTCCAGTACATAAAAGACGAGTCTCCGCTCAGCGTTAGGCACCCCCTCCCACCCCGCAGAAACAAAACAAAAAAAAAAGAAAAAAAACTGCTATGTTTTCTTTGTAGTTTATTTTTGTAGCTTATCTTACATTTAGAACCAAACTGTGACTGAACTGCTCTGTGATTCAATAAATGATCAAATATGAAGAATAAATAGTATTAAATGATTACATGAGCTCTCTAAATAATATAATCTTTTTGAAAGAAATAGTTATTTTAATAGAGAAATCAGTCAGTCTAACAAATAAAACATGTAAAGTTATTTTGTGAAGTACAAAAGACATATTTGGTATATTTTAAAAAATATAAAGTTATAGTACGTACATACATAACGTGTTTGCACTGAAAAGTTATGGAGATGGTTAAATACTTGTATGACTGTATCTGACTCAAATCTTGCCAAAAATGTTTATTACATATATAAAAAACATTAAAATGACAAATATAAACTATAGAAAAGCTGTTCAAAATCTAAACTGTGACCTTTGATTAAAAACATGGACACACTGTGGCCACAATTATAATCCACATTATCAGAAATCAAACTCCTGACTTAGCCGGGAGGTGAAGTTGAAGAGGAAGGCCAGCAGTCAGTGTCGTATTTAAGAGCCATTTTATCAGACCCCTCTCTCACTCCATACCTTTTTTTTTCTACCGCTGTTGACAAACTGCTTAGCACAATGTGAGCTCGGCTTGACTCTAAATACATGAGGCACACTTATTTAACTTTCTCAGCAAAAAACACAAAATAACACAAAAGTCATAACACAAAAGTGTTATGACTATACTACACTGTGTGTGTGTGTGTGTGTGTGTGTGTGTGTGTGTGTGTGT